GGATGTACGAAATCTTAGTTGCCAAGTTCTTCCAGTTATACTTTTCATTTTTGACCATAAGTCCCATAGTGCGAGAGCAGCTGGACACTTGGCAGAATCTGGGCAATGGTCGCTATCTATAACCAATAAAAAACCATCTAAAATTTTTTTTAATTTTTCAGGTTTATCGATTAGGTCATTTTTGTTATCGATTTGATCATCGAGGAGGAATAGCCAGCTCATGAAATTGATAACCAGACAAAGTCTATCAAACGGAGCATTTGGATAAACGTAACAGCCAAATATACCAAACTTAGCACTTTTAAAACGTTCAATTGCTTCTTTTTTTGTCACCAATCCAAATTGCATTACCCACTCAAGGCAATATTTTTCAACTTCTGATTTATACTCATTATTTGAACGTAAAGGGAAGTCACATTCAAGAGATTTTGGAATTTCGAAATTCTCTGCGGGGTTTATTTGATAAAATGTTTTTTTAGATTTTTCTCTGAAGATTATCCTCTTAAGTCGAGATTTTAGTTTTAAACTTTGGATTGATTTTCCGAATGTTTCGAAGACAGCCATAATAGCAGACTTTTTGTAATTATAATCTAAGAATTCTAACGGAGCTTTATATGTTGTTTGGAAACGAGATTTAAGTGAATTTAGAATTTTTTAGTATTTTAGGGTTAGCGTATAGGTTCATATTGAATAAATTCTACCCCAAATTTATAATTGTATTAAAAAATTTCGTTCCCACTTACAACATATATATTTACAATAAGTGAAGTGCTTATTGACCCATTATCTAATGGACAATGGTTTGTTCATCCAAAATAGAACAAATCATTTATAATCATTGTGTAAATTTAATGTGATATAAATATAAATAAAACAAATAAATGTAAATTACATTATGTGAATCAGATATTTAAATGCATTGAGTGAATCAGATACCACGGATTTGTTAAATTGGGTATATCAATAGTTTGACGAGTAATTAACAATAACGATACAAAAGTTTTGTATCGTTATTGTTATTACCCTTAAATCACTT